GCATCAATTCTTCTAAAGTCTTCTTTATTCACTGTCCAACTTTCAGATGCATATGAGGTTACTGAAAATACCATGGGTTGGTTCAGGTGCACCTTGGTTCTCTGACATCGTTGCTCTTTAATACTTTAAAGAGGTCTTGTAGAGCAGATTTTCCTAATGCTATATGTCATTAGAATTCTTGACTGCTGCTTCCATGAGTGTTGATGGTAGATCTGAGCAAAATGAAGACTTTGACAACTTCAATTTTTTCTTCATTTATATAGATGTTATTTATTGGTCCAGTTGTGAGGATTTTTGTTTTCTTTATACTGAGGTGTAGCCCATACAGAAGGTTGTGGTCTTTGATCTTCATCAGTAAATATTTTAAGTCCTCTTCGCTTTCAACAAGCAAGGTTGTATCATCTACCTACTGCAGGTTGTTAATGAGTCTTCCTCCAATCCTGATGCCACGGTTTTCTTTATATATTCAAGCTTCTTGGACTATTTGCTCAGAATACAGACTGAGTAAGTATGGTGAAAGAATACAACCCTGGCACACACCTCTCCTAATTTTAACCATTCGGTGTTCCCTTGTTCTGTTTGCACAGCTTCCTCCTGGTCTATGTACAGGTTCCTCATGAGCACAAGTAAGTGTTCCAGAATACTCATTCTCTACATTGTTGTCCATAGCTTGTCAAGATCCACACAACTGAAAGCCTTTGCATAGTCAATAAAGCAGAGATAAACATCTTTCTGGTATTCTCTGCTTTCAGCTAAGATCCATCTGACATCAACAATGATATTCCTACTTACAGGTCCTCTTCTGACTCTGGCTTGAACCTCTGGAAGTTCTCTGTCAAGGTATAGCTGCAGTTGTTTGTGTACTGTCTTTAGCAAAATTTTACTTGCATGCAATATTAGTGGTATTATTCGATGATTTCTGCATTCCTCTCTTTGGAATGGGCACAAACATGGATCTTTTCCAGTGAGATGGCCACATAGTTGTCTTCCAAATTTCTTGGAGTAGATGAGTGAATGCCTTCAGAGCTGCATCACTTTGTTGAAAGATTTCAATTTGTATTCCATCAATTCCTGAAGTCTTGCTTTTTGCAATTGCCTTCAATGTACCTTGGACTTCTTCCTTTAGGATCAATGGCTCTTGATCATGTGCTACCTCTTGTAACGGTTGAACGTCGACCATTTCTTTTGGTACAGTGACTCTTGATTACTCCTTCTGTCTTATTTTGATGCTTTCTGTATCACTGAATATTTGCCAATAGAATCCTCCAATATTAAAACTCGAGGCATGAATTTTTTCTTCAGTTTCTTCAGCTTGAGAAATGCTGAGTCTCTTCTTTCCTGGAGAAGGATCGCATGCTAGCTAAAGTGGAGAGTCAGCGAAAAGAGTTAGAACCCCCAATGAGATGGACTGGCACAACGGCAGCAGCAGTGGGCTCAAGCTTAACAATGATTTTGAGGATGGCACAGGACTGGGCAGTGTTTCATTCTGCTGTGCACTATAAGTCAGAACAGAATGGACGGTACCTATCAAAAGAAGATGGAAGGAATACACAGAGTCACTGTACCAAAAGGAAATGGTTGAGCCAATGATACTGAAGGAATAAATCTAAGATGCATTGAAGGAATTGGCAAAAAGAACAAGGCTCAAGGAATTGATGGAATAAAAATTGAAATCTTTCAAGAACGTGAGACAGCACTGGAGACACTCACTCATCTATGCTAAGAAATTTGGAAGACAACTATCTGGCCAAATGATTGGAAGAGATCTGTTATTTGTGCCCGTTCCAAAGACAGGTGACCTAATGGAATGTGGAAATCATTGGACAATCTCTTTGATATCCCACGGGAGTAAAGTTTTACTAAAGGTAATATAGAAATGGCTGCAAGCATACATTGACAAAGAACTTCCAGAGGTTCAAGCTGGATTCAGAAGAGGACGTGGAACGAGGGATATCATTGCTGATGTCCAATGGATCTTGGCTGAAAGCAGA